GATTGTCGTAACAGCGCATGCGTAGTATACGAAAGTAAACATTCAAGATGGCGGCGCAAAATGAATTGCTGGCCGAGGCAATTTTAGAGGACAAACTTGTCGAACTTTGGCCTGAATACAAATGTTTATACGATGTGAGTTCTGCAGATTTTAGAAATAGGGACAAAAGGGAATGTGCGGTGAAAGAAATAACCAGTAAGTTTGTCCTCTAAAATTGCCTCGGCCAGCAATTCATTTTGCGCCGCCATCTTGGATGTTTACTTTCGTATACTACGCATGCGCTGTTACGACAATCCGTAAGCAGATAGCTTTCGTTCGCCGCACACGGAAAGATTTTGGCACGCGAGGCAGAAATTATCAAACATGTTAGATATTTGGCGTAAGTGGCACGAATGACAAAAGTCGTTCGTAAATCGATCGCACACGAGAGCTATCTCCTTACGCCAACAGTCACGAATGACATTTTGCTAAGCACATAGCTCTAGTGTGCGCCGGCCTTAATCGACGTGACAGGAAGTCTTAAGAGGCAGTCTCTGTAAAAGCGGTCCACTGCATTTCAGATCAGGAAATAGTTTTCTCCCAAACTTTTACCGTGAAATAGCACATACCAGTGAGTTATGAAACTGACTTTGGTTTTTCGATTTTCATAAAAATAATTTTTTTACTGCGCTTTAGTTCCAGGCAACCGTCTTCGCTGAATTTGCACTTTTCGTCAACTGAAAATTACACATATTTAAAACATTACAGCTCACGGAATATAGAACTCTGCACCAAGATCTTTTTTCCCAGTCTTGTTCATTCATTCAAGTGCAAAATTCAAGCGAAATTTTGAATGTCGAAAGAAATGTGGGGGGAGGAAAAAATACGCAATGATACTCGTTTTACGCCTTTCTTAAAATCACGACAAACTGACCCTCAGAAAATAGCTTTGATCTCCTAAGTCCAGCACTGAAAACCTAAAGCTTCTACACCAATCTACTAATCTAAGGATTGATAAAAACATTTTGCGCTTTTTATTTAAATTCTGCACAACAACCTCGGACTTTCTGTGCCCGGTTTTTGATGCAAAATATTTGAATTACATTTATTTATTTAATTAGGCGGTAAATATAAACTGCAATGAAAGACTGTTTATATTTGCCTCAATTTTATTGCATTCGGATTTAAAGCATTAAATATTCTCTTATTTTCAAATTTAAAGTTCAAGAAATTTATTACTAAATGGTGCCGGACGGCTTTGCTAGCTGAAGTGAAGTGTTTTATTGTTCGTGCAAAATACTTGACTGTTTATTATGCAAGATTAATATTTTACCAAAATAGAATTTCAAAACAGCAATTCCAATTTTTTTTACTCATGAAGTTCTAGTTCGGATAAAAACTTGTTAGAAGTATATATACAAACCAGACACAGTACTAAAATGCGGTGCCCGCCTACAAATAAAACTTCCGGCGTTTTCGCCTACAACTTACAAGTAAAGTTATATTTAGTATGCTACATTTTCCTGCCGGCCGCCAGTTTGTCCATACACATTAGGATCAAAACTGCGCTTTAAAACCTTCAAAATAAAATATTTTGGGCTCAAAATACTATCAAAATGAAGAGAAAAGTGAGATGAATATACTGGCATATGGCCGAAAAGAGAAAACCAACGATACCAAAGTTGTCAACTATCAAGGGTCAAACGTACTGCATTTTTAGTTAATTTAATAATTTTGAGCGATTTGTCAACAATTAACAAATATAAAACATTTTCCGTGTTGATATACAGTTATATCAACACGAGTGGAAATTGGGAAAACGAGAAATTGTGTGGAAACACGACGCCCGAAGGGCGGAGTGTTTTCATATAATTTCGAGTTTTCCCAACTTCCACGAGTGTTGATATTGAACTATATATCAATACGAAAAAAATGTTTTATATTTGTTTTATAATATAGCAATGTCAAAAGCCCGAAGAATAAGAAAAATTTCCGTGTTTACAAGCGGCGGAAAATTTCCCGTGTTGACATGGAGTTATATCAACACGGCTCTTAGCCAATCAGCGTTCGGAATTTACAAATGCTATATTATAATACTATTTCGCTTATTAAAACTGCACTTTAAAACCTTCAAAATAAAATAGTTTGGGCTCAAAATACTATCAAAATGAAGGGAAAAATGTGATGAATCCACTGGTATACGGCCGAAAACGAGAAAACCAACGATACGAAAGTTATCAAGAATCGAACGTACTGCATTTTTAATTAGTTTAGTAATTTTGAGCGTTTGTCGACATGCAATGCAATCTCGCTCGACTTTCAAAGGCCATATATCGCTAGAATTCTTTTGTTTAGTAACACATTTGACATCCATAAGTACAATTTCTTACGCTGAATTGAACGGTGGTATTTTTGTCCTTATTGGGCGCATAAAACCAGAGATAAGGCGCAGCAAAAAGTCTATCGTGAGAGTCCGAGATCAAAAATAGAAAAGAAAACTTTCCTCGAAAAAAGGAATTCGGAAAACGTGAAGGATTATTTTGAGCGGCTTGACTTGTCTTTAAAAGTCCATAAATTGCTAGAATAGAAATCAATTTTCCATCCATAAATACAACTCGATTCTGAGAGTACAAGATAAATTAATTTTCCTGCAAAAATGAATAAATTTCGAGAACGTGCAAGGAATTTTTACTAGGCGATTAAGGAAACGTATTGATGCTAACAAACGGACAAACTAATAAACAAACGGACAAACTCACAGGCAGAATATAATGCGGTGCCCAAAGTTTGGGCACCGCAATATATCCGATATTCTTATATCACTTAATTGACAACAATATATCCGATATTCTTATATCATTAAATCTGGTTTACATTGGTGAAACTGGTCGAAATCTCTCAGTACGTGTTAAGGAACACAAGACGAATTGCGAGAAAGCCGAGCAAGATAAATCTGTTGTGGCTAAACATACTGTACTTGGACTTACGACCATCGTATAAAATGGGACGAAGCAACCATTCTGGCGATTGATATAGTCATAAGTTCTCTCGCAAAATGAGAGAGTCAATTGAAATCGAGAAGCACAATACAAAAGATCAGGAGGGAGAGCCACTAGATAGTACGTGGCGTGCTCTGTTTAATGTGCAAAATTAATTTCTCTTGTCTTGGATGCGCGCGCGTTAATTGGAATCACTTCACTACGTTTGAAATGACGTGGTTGATGTGTCATTTAATTCAATTTCAAATGACACGAGCCAAGAGATCACGACACTTTTGTATATAAAAAGAGCGTGTGCCGGAATTAAACAAGTCACATATTATTAGCACTGATGAAGATCCGGGCTTACGGATCGAAAGCTTTGCAGTAATAAATTTACGTGGTGTTTCCACAAACAAAACTATTGTCTTTTATCGCCATGCAAACATACAAAGAACTTATACACTTCAGTCTAATTATTTTTATGTCTAATTATTTTTATGTCTTTATATTCTTAAACAAAAAGCAAGTTCGAGGTTGCTGTGTAGAATATATTAAAAATATTAAAATAAAAGTGCAAAATGTTTTAAAAATTATAATATCACTTGCTGCTTTAAGCCTTAAAATATATATAAAGTCACGTTCAGTAAGATGTCGATTTCGTCGTGGTATATATAGGCACATGTCATGTGTTTTGGTTATTTTTCCTGCTATATGTCAAGTGATATAAGAATATCGGATATATTTGTATATACTTCCTTCAACAAGTTTTTATCCGAACTAGAACTTCATGAGTAAAAAAATGGAATTGCTGTTTTGAAATTCTATTTTGGTAAAATATTAAGCTTGCATAATAAACAGTCAAGTATTTTGCACCAACAATAAAACACTTCAGCTATAGCAAAGCCGTCCGTCCGGCACCATTTAGTAATAAATTTCTTGAACTTTATATTTGAAAATAAGAAAATATTTAATGCTTTAAATCCGAATGTAATATAAACAGTCTTTCATTACAGTTTATATTTACCGCCTAATTAAATAAAATAATGTAATTTTGCATCAAAAACACAGAAAGTTCGAGGTTGTTGTGCAGAATTTAAATAAAAAGCGCAAAATGTTTTTATCAATCCTTTTTATACATCCTTAGATTAGTAGATTGGTATAGAAGCTTTAGGTTTGCAGTGCTGGACTTAGGAGATCAAAGCTATTTCCTGAGGGTCAGTTTGTCGTGATTTTAAGAAAGCCGTAAAACGAGTATCATTGCGTATATTTTCCTCCCCCCGTATTTCTTTCGACATTCAAATTTTTGCTTGAATTTTGCACTTTAATAAATGAACAAGACTGGGAAAAAAGACCTTGGTGCAGAGTTCTATATTCCGTAAGCTGTAATGTTTTAAATATGTGTAATTTTCAGTCGACGAAAAGAAGACGGTCGCCTGGAACTAAAGCGCTGTAAAAAAATTATTCTTATGAAAATCGAAAAACCAAAGTTAGTTTCATTACTCACTGGTATGTGCCATTTCACGGTAAAAGTTTGGGAGAAAACTATTTCCTGATCCGAAATGCAGTGGACCGCTTTTACAGAGACTGCCTCTTAAAAGCTCAAATAAAACGGCCAAAGCAGTTAATAAACAGCAGGAATCGGATCAACCACGTGATCAGAACAAAACTGAACTTGATCAAAACCTGGACAGGTACCAACAGAGATTTACGGGCATCGGAAAAGCAATGCGGAACGGAGAAGAAATCAGTACAGATAACTGTACCAATGAAAGACATGCACAGAAACCTCAACGAGTTACATACCAGTTGACCGAACCGTTGAAGCAACGACTAGCAGAATTCGAAGAGAATGATATAATTGAGTCGGTACCAGAACACGAAGCCATTACGTGGTGCTCACTATTGGTCGTACAACCCAAACCAAAAAACCCGGAAGCTATTCGTGCCTGTCTGGATCTACGATTGGTGGCGCACTTGCCAACTGCAAGTCCCAATAACCGAAGATTTCATTTGAGAGTTCAAGGGATGCAAAGTTTTCAGTAAATTAGATCTCAACCATGGTTACCACCAATTTTCCCTTGATGAACAATGCCGACGAATCATGACATTCTCCACACCGTGGAGCAATTGCCGATATAAGAGACTTGCCTTTGGTGGACTCAACAGCCAAGACCTCTTCGACGCAGAGCCATTACAAAAATCATATCTAGTATCCCCAGAGACAGTGCCAGAGTGTTGAACAACCGCGACGATATCATGATCGGCGGACTGACTGTAAGGACCACAACAAAAATATTCAACCACTACGGAAAGAGAAATGTGAATTCGGGAAAACGAGCATGACCTTTCACGGACATATAATGTTCATCACGGAAGGATTAAAGCCAAGCCCTGACAAGATCCGAGCATGCAGTGTGTAAGAGTGCACACCACCGAAGACACGCGAGGAGCTAGCATCCTTCTTGCAAATGCTAGCGCATACCTATCCCGATATATCAACAACTTCTCAAGCCGTTGCAAGCTTCTACGGCAATCAGTGGCGCCGCCAGCTCGATGATTGGGGGGGGGGGAGGCGAATATTCATATCTTCGTGTTCTGCATTAACTTTTTTGTTCTGCATTTTATTGTCTGTGAACACAAATATATGAATATTCGCCACCCCAATTATCGAGCTGGCGGCGCCAGTGAGGGCGATTGACAAGAAACAACGCGGCGAAATTCGAATGAACAAACGAACAGCAAACCGCATTTGACAACCTCAAGAAGGCAATCACGTCCAAGCCAGTACTGATACCGTACTACCCAGAGCGAGACACATTCGTCATGCATCTGTGATGGCAGCCCAAGGGGACTGGGTGGAGCAATTTTCCAGAAAACTCAGCATAGTTACCAACCCGTACATCACGTGAGTCGAACACTCACCGACACAGAAAGCTGATATTTCCAGATAGAACGAGAAACCTTAGCAGCTCATGGCCAGAAATTCAGGACATGCACCCGCAATATATCTCAGCGGTTTTTCTTATGAAAAGTTATTCATACCTAACAAACGCAAGTTTGAACTAAACGCAAGTAACTAAAGAATTACATTTTGCTTACTTTTTTGTTTAACTAAAGTAGATAAATAGATATATTAGGTACTGTCGGTCTTACATACCTTTCATTTATTACGATGGGATATAAAGCGATGCGCATGCATGGTAAAACGACTCAAATATTTTGTTATACATCGCTATCCCTCTGTGTATAAACCCACACTGGAAGAACGAATTGTTCCTAAGCTTCTTGTTGATATCAAACATGGTCACATGGACGACAATTCGTGAAAGGACGTTAATCTTCTTGCAATGTTTTACGGCCTATTTATGAGTATCAACATTTTCTCCGTAAATTGGAACAAGTTAAAAAATTCGTATCACTACGAAATTATGCATACAAGCAGGCGAGAACATATATTTTACGACGTGAAGTCTGCAAAATACATGAAGGGTTCGAAGGATACACGCGGCCAAAGCAAAATGTACGTTTCCAGCGATTTTCTCAAGGTTTACTGTACTTTATCACCGATGTACTATGAAGTGAACTCGAGTAATGGAATAACTTATAGGTAAGATTGCGATGCGAAACTTTTCTCTTTCATGGTCCAGATATAGTTTATATTACTGCGAAGTCTGCAAATGACGTACCTTATTCGTACCTTATTCGTTCGGTTTTCCATCTCCTTTTCGGGAACCAGGTCCATATCCCGGCCCTTTGTTTCCACCTGCGATATCTGGCCCATGCACTTATGAACCATTTGTACGTGCAGCCTTTTATAAAACCCTTACAAACCTTACAACCCCTATTGGATATGCCCACGAGAACAATCAGATATTGATTGAGGATTATACCCGGAAGACCTGAAATCTTAACAATCTGATCTCATTTCCCCTTGTTACTAATAAGAATCCAGGCCCCAAAGCCCTATGAATGATATCCCGACTATATTGTCCACTATAGAAAATGGACGAGCTCCAGCAAATTACAGAGCTAAACTCTGCAAGTGTTATTTGCATTACTGAATCGTGGCTATCACCTGACATTCCTGATCATTGTGTATCTATCTCTGGATTCAACTTATTTCGTAGGGATCGCATAGGATCTTCTGGTGGTGGGGTCTGCATATATTTGGATTCTGAAATACCTTGTAACCGTCTGGACTCAAGTGACCAATCTGATGTAGAATCAATTTGGATTTCATTAAGACCACATAAACGTCCTTGGAAGACAAATTACATACATTATTCTAGGAGTAATATATCACTCAACATCTAATAAAGAACCTGAGAATGTTGTCCTTAGAGACCATGTACAGAATAACCTTGACGCATTACTCTTTAAGGAACCTAACGCTCTTGTCTTACTTACTTACTTAATGGTAACTTTAACCCTCGTCAACAGCTTTTAAAATGAAATATATCACACAGGTGAACCATCCTAAAAACCTATATCTTTTAAAACCAGAGATTCGGCCGTATTGGATTAGCTGTTAACAAATAGACCTCAGCTGTTTGAAGTATCTATATTGCCAAAGGTTGGTTTGTCTGACCACTATACAATCTTAGCAAAACTCCAAATATAGCTATATCACCTGATTCACCTAAACAGACTATTACTAAAATTGGAATCCGGGTTATGCGGAACTCTGCGTGGTGTGCATTTGGACGATGGATAACCGATAAAAACTGGTCATCGGTATTAAGTGCAAGTTCGAGTAAAGATAAATTTGACCTCTTTATGTCAGAGCTTGACCAAGCCGTTGATATCTTTCTCCCACAGAAGATGATTAAAAAGCATCCGACAGGTCGACCGTGGATTACTCATAAGATAAAAACTGTGGATTTCTAGACGCCAACTAATTCGTATTCCAACAACAAGGAAAAAATTCTAAAGCCTTTAGTTTTTGGAAATCCAATTACTTTCATATTAAGGTAGCAGATGTTGATAGAGTTAACCCTGTAAAGTGGTGGAAAGAGATGAAAAACTATCTGTTCAAAATGTCCGACAGGAATGGTATCACCAGTTCCCTGATAACAACATGGATATGGAATCCCTAGCTAATAAAGTGAACGACTTCTTTGTAAGTCTTACAAATAACTTTACCCCTCTGAGCCAACCAACTCCACCTATGGAAATCCCAGAAAATTCTTGGTTACGGAAAGTGAGGTGTTTAAAGCATTAGCATCGCTGCAAATTAGTAAGGCGATTGGGCCTGCTAATATCCCGAATATAATCCTGCATGAAAGAGTTTGCTCCTGAATTGGCCCCAGTCATTCGTAATATTTACAACCAGTCAATGGTAGAAGCGAATATCCCATCTGCACTTAAGTCGTCTACTGTAATTCCAGTTCCGAAGATATCACCTCCTCAAACAATTGAAAATGATATCCGCCCAATCTCGCTTACTTCTTCAATGGCAAAGGTTATGGAAGGCTTTACTTGCATTACTATTAAAGGACTTGGCAGGTAATATCGTCCAATATGCCCGCAAAGGGCACTCAACAACAGATGCCCTTCTCTACATCATGCAAACAATTCATCAGGCATTCGACAGGGGCGAAGCTGGTGCTCCTATCTTCTTCGCAGACTTCTCGAAAGGTTTTGACAGGGACGCCGGAAGATCGATAATTGGGGGGGGCAGATATTCATATATTCCTGTTCTGTCCAATTAATTTCTTTTGAAATCGATTGTTTTTACAGTCTGTAAACACGAATATAAGAATATCTGCCCCCCCCCCCCCCC